TTTTCAATAGGCACCAATATACATTTTTTCTTGTTTATATTTTGGCATAGTGTATCTTTTAAAGAACTGGCCCATTTTGTCTTAACTTTAAAATTGAGCGCCACAGACATTTTTATAGTATCTATTACCTTTTCTTCCCCCATGGAAGCTGTAGTGACGCCTTATCATTTATGATAAGAATTAGTAGGGTAGTAGGTCTTAGCCTGGCTAGAAGGTTATGAGTTTTACTGTTTAAATTTTCAAAAAAATCTCATTTTTCGTTTTATTGATTTTTTTCTATTGATTTCTTGTTTTACTTTCATTGATGTCTACTCTCTTTTTCCTTTGGATTATTTTAGATTAAATTTGCTCTTTTTTGAGGTTAAGAACATCATTTTATCTTAGATCTTATTTTTAATACGGCGCAGATGCTCTAAAGGCTCCTTTAGGCTCTGTTTTCTCCATGCTAAACAATATGACAAGTTTGTATGTTTCATTTTCATTTAGCATATAACTTCAAGAAAATTCAATATTACATGGGTCCCCCAAAATATCTAATGGAGGGTGAAGTCTCCAACATACAAAAGTAAGCTGACATTGGCCTGACCCACTTCTTGTGGATGTTACTAGAGATTGTACCTTTAAGACAGACCTTTGATTAGATCTTGTCCCTTTACCTCAGATACTTTTCCTTGTTCTGAAGTCTACCATCAGTGTAACACAGTACATATACTGGGTACTTCCTGTTGCTGTAATTCAGCACAACAGCCAGAAGGAACTAGAAGACTATATTCTGGCTCACAGCTTCAGAGGCAGAGTCCATCATAGGGGAAAGAGATTTGGTACCAGGTGACTAGGTCAGGAAGATGAGGCCACATCTTCACCCAGAAAGCAAAGAGAGCAAACAGCAAGTGGATTGTTCACTATTTCTTCCCAAGATACATAACAACAACAACAAAAAATACCAAGAGCCCAGATTTTCAAAGGATGTAGATATACTTTCCAAACTTAGGATATAGGAGAACAAAGAAACACAGAGGAAAGTCAACATCCTCCAAAAGGCAACTGTCACTAATTTATGTTTGGCCATGTTCTGGGTCATGGGGGGAGGGGGGGCTGCAATCTGTCTACATAATCTGCTAGACTCCTGAAGCAATTCAGGACTGCTGCCAGGAAGTCCCTTTTCTTTAAGGTTGTACTCACAGCTCTATACAATCTCTTCCAAAGATGAAGTTTTAGAAAGAAGGGTTCCTCAGTGATCCAATGACAAACGAAAAAAACACCGCCTGAGAGTGTTCCACTGTACTGTGTACTTCCAAGCTAGATTTATCTGAGACAGGAGATAATTTCAAATCCCTGAAGTCATCACCCAAGTTAAAATTTTTTAGTAAAGAGAGCTATGCAAACAGAAATAGTTGCAGATAATGTATACATTACACATAACAGACTTGGGTCTTGGCAGGTGTGAATCTTCAAGTTTAGTGCATGCATTTCCAGGCTGGGGGTCTGACCAGGCCCTCACTGGCTGCCTTACTCGACACCACTGATGAAATCAGCAATCACCTATTTAACCAACTGCAGCCGAAGCTATGAACGGTTGTTTTAGTGAGGGAAGCAACACAGTGGAGTGACAAATTCATTTTATGACTCAACACACAACTGTCCTCTTAAAAACAAACATTTAAAAACCTTAAACAAGGTAAGTCTTTAAAAGTTTCAGAAAACTTTGGATTATATTAAAAAAATTATGGCCAAACTGGAATTCTGACAATACAAATTATCAAAAAAAATTATGAACAAGTAACAGCTACTGAAGTCTGTTTGGATAATTAGGTACAAAGAAACACACTACATTAAACTTGAAGGTAGCCGAGGAAGAATAATTTTTTTTAAAGGCTGACAGTCAATACATGGCATTCAGTGTCCTCCACAGGCCCGTGTTTTCATCTGCAGCAAATACAGCAGGTAGACCTGGCTAAAGAAGTAGGCCACTCATGTCTGGGTCTAGCTTGCTTTCCCTGCTTCCCAGTCTCCACCTAGGTCTTTGGAACTTCGGTTTGGGGAGGGGAGTGGAAGAGCACAGTGTAATAGACTACAGAAGCCCTTGAATAGGAGCTCAAGGGACAATCATAGTGACAATTCACAAGAGCACAGGGCAGACAGGAACATGGCCAGCACATGCTACTTATATCTCAGGTAGGGGAAGAAGGAAGATTGGGATGGATACTTGGAGGCTATTCATGTCACAGTGTGACAGAGAATTTGGCTGTACTCTGTATGGTGAAATTCTGAGTGAGCTGAATTTAAAAGTAATAGACTAATAGGAAATTTCAACAGTTTAACATCTAGGCTCCGTGGTTACTGCTTGCAGTTTTTACCCAACTCTACAATAATAACTGAAAGAAAAAAAAAAAGAATTCAAAGATTTGAAACATGCAGTTTGGTGAAGAAAGAAGTATTAAACTGACTTAAAGCAATTGCTGGTCCATCTGCTATGAGCCTGAAGAGACTCAGCATGATTACAAAGCAACTAGGACTGGACAGTAGGACAGATACTTGAGGACAAGACCCCACCCTTCAAAAACTCAGGGTGTAAATGACTTTATAAAGGATGATAAGCCTGCAGAGCACCTTACACTAAAAGGGCAGAGAGACTGGAACTTTCCAAGGTTCAGCCATGCAGCACTCAGGAAGCTGTTGCAGCTGCCAGCAACAGGACACAAGGGTACTTCTTGAGTGGGAAGAATGCTATTTTTGATTTGGGGTGGGGGAAAGATCTCAATACATCATCCAGACTACTCTTTAACTTGAGATCATCTTGCATCAGCCTTGAGTTTGAACCACCATGCCTGGTTAACTGTGTACCCTTTTCTTCTTTTTTGTATGAGGTAGTTTTTGTTTGTATTATTGGGGCTGGGTATACCAGGGTTGAACCAGGATCTTGTGAACACTAGGCTACATCTTACATTTAGCTACATCCCAGCCTAAATTCATTCACTTTAAATAGTTCAGACTACACAAATTTAATTAGAAACTTGTAATCCAAACTTTGCGACTTCACTCCAACTACGTTGCCCACATTTTAAATATGAAGTTACCTTTGTTTTCGTGTCTAAACTTTATTGTTTTCATTAATCTATAAATCACCATCTCTCCTTTCTGTGTGACATTCTAAACAAACACCTACAGAAGACTGTGTTGTTTCCATTTAACTGCTACAGATTAACAAACTAAAATGTGCATGTTTCAGACAACAGTCTATGATTCTTAGTTTATTAAGCAAATCTTATATAGAGTCAAACATTATTCTTTTAAAAGAAAGGCAATTTTTAAATATGCAAACAGTCCCAATGACGTTCATGAAAAAGTTAGTGAATATGTAGTCATTCACCATCCCTTACTCAAGGATTAAGTATCTTGATTTTACTAGTATTCCTCTCCTAAGTGGAGTCTAGCTTCTTGGTAGAAAGTTATTAAATTAAAGAAATACTCTAAGGCAGCATCTCTAAAGAAGATCTATAGTTTACATCTTGAAGAGATTAATAATACACTATGTATATGTAGCATTAGTCCTACATGTAAATTTGTGATCATTTTCCACCTCTATTGTAGAATAACTTAAATAAATGTAGGGAAACCAAATTGTTTAAAATTTTTCATATATTTTCATTTTGAAAAAAAACATGTTTCACAAGAAAAGACACTAGACCACTATCTCGCAAGTTTCAGTTCCATGACCTTAATATCAATACATATGGATATGAGATTTAAAAGAATAAAGAGAAAGAGAAAGAGAAAGATAGAGGGAGGGAGGGAGGGAGGGAGGGAGGGAGGGAGGGAGGAAGGAAGGCCATACACACACACAAGTTCTAGGTAGAACTGTAATAAATTCCTTTTATAAACAAAAATCTTAACTGAAAAGCCACAGTAGATGGAAAAAGAGAAAGGATATGAGTTTGTAAAATCCAGTGAACATTACAATAGTTTTACAGCACATTTAAGCATTCTAGGGTTTTATATCTTTACCTGCCTTCCATTTATTCGGTGTTCCTTAGAAGTTTGAACCCAGATTTGACCTCAAACCCATTCTTGAGTTTGAGTTCCAGGAAAAGCAAAAGTCCAAATTTTTATCTTGATATTACAGTTTTAATTGTAAAAAAATACTTGTTTAGAACAAAATAACCCCCCAAAATGGGGGGAGGCAAAACAGAAAAATAAGCAGCAATATTTAATTATATATAATGGTTACTCATTATATGGAAGGTGTGTTTTAGGATGTAATCTAGGATGCACTTGCTCTGTGGGGTCTCCTCAATAATTAAACTGACCTAGACCAAGACTATCAAAAATAAGAGTACTATGTAAGGGACACACATTCACAATTTTGCTATTCATAAAGGCAGTAAAGCAAAAGAAAATATTATCAAATAGTACATGCACAACCTACGTAACTTCCATGGAACTACCAATAGTGTCGATGCAATGTGCCATTTCCCATAACTGTACTATACCATCTAATAACAAAGAAGAAATGAAACTGAAAATAATGGTACTGAACTGAATTGTTTGAAGCCAGTGTCCCATCTATGGGGAAAGTGCATTTAGTTCAGCAGCAATACAGCACAGTGTGAAGATATTGTGCTTAGACACAGATACTCCAGAACAGAAAGATGTACAAGGCGAGTCAAGATATAAAACCACAGTACACTGTTAAATAACCTTGAAACATACATACACTGCAGTCTTTAGAGAGAGACATTCATCTCATTGTACAAGGAAAGGGTAAAGACTTTAAAGTTACCTATTGTGGTTTATGATATAATAAATACATATCTATATAGCATTGTATATACATATATAGAATGTGTGTTTATGTGTAATTTATTTGCCAAATTTCTGTTTAATTTTTGTGGATCTGCACTTTTCAGGAATGGAAAAGAAAACCTTCCACCACAGATTTCTGCTCCCCCAGAGTAAAAATACTTATTCTAAGAAAGGTCTCAATACCCCGACCCCAAAGGTTCACTTCAGATATTTATTTTACAGTTCATTAGAGAAATAAAAGTAGTGGAAATTTTGATTTCTAAATGTATATTTTCTGTTTGCCAGCTGTTGCTCAATAAAGTATCTTTTAATATTTAAACTAACTGATGCAAATTTTTAACACAGAATATAAACTCTATATCTGATTAAAACAGAGCAAATCAAAATAATCCAGTGATTCACTCCAACTGTAAACAATATAAAAATTTTAAATTTCAAATTTCAAAATAAGTTAAAGAAAAATTCTACCTTCAGGGCTCATGCCATTATAAAGATCTGACGCTGTAAGGGGAAATGGATACGAAAAGTTGCAACAAAATTTTTGGGCCACATTTTCCTAAGAGAAACACATATCTGATTATATCATTTTGTCCCTTAAATTTAATGACTTCATAATTTCTTGGAAGATTTTTAAACAAACTGGCATATCAGATTACACAACAGAAAACCATCCATCAAATTTAGCAAAGAAAACTTATATAAGCCTTTTTTTCTTTACAGAATTAAAAAAATCTAAATGGCTATGATTCCTCTATTAGCAGAAACACATAATGCAGTCTTTATAAATCTGCCATAGATCAATATCCACAGATACAGATATAGATATGAAACATTAATGGCAGTCTATGTTTGAACAGTGTGTGGGACCAGCAGTTTGTATCAGACCATGGCACGATATGGACCCTGCATCTTTAAAAACTGAATAATGAACGAAGGCCCTCCAGCAACAATTTGAGGTGGGAGGTGACTGAGTGGACAGTTCTCAATACTCATGATTGACAGCTTGCTGCAGAGAGCCAGCTCAAAAGGGAGGCTGTGAAGGTTGGGGTTGTCATTCAAATACAGTTCTTCTAGATTTTCCAGTGTGCCTGTTCAGGGAGGGAAAACAATTAATTACTATTCTTAAAACTTTCACCACTGTAGGTTTCAAATTGCAGCATATTCAAATCAACTGGGAAAACATTTTAAAACCACAATTATAGGTCCCTCTTTATAACCAGAGAATCACAATGGTTTTGAGGCTTATGAGGTTTGTGGAAACACTCCATTTTCAGACATTCTGTTGGTCAGTTGAGAGTTCACATATGTATTCTTTTTTTTTTTTTTGGTTTTTCAAGACAGGGTTTCTCTGTGGTTTTGGAGCCTGTCCTGGAACTAGCTCTTGTAGACCAGGCTGGTCTCGAACTCACAGAGATCCGCCTGCCTCTGCCTCCCGAGTGCTGGGATTAAAGACGTGCGCCACCACCGCCCGGCCTCACATATGTATTCTTAAGCCTCTATTTTAAAAATCAAAACATAGACTACTTGCCAGTGGCAGCAGGAAAGTAGTAAGCCAACAGGCAGCAAGAGAGACTAGTCTACAAGTGGAATAGTTAATCTCAAGGCAATCTCCATGGAGTGAGTTACTGGCCTGGTTTACAGGTAAGAAGACATTAGGGTGGACAGTCTCTATCTAAAGCTACAAAGCCAGCCAAGTGGCACAACTAAATTTTAAATTGTCTATCATTTGCAAAAAAAACATTACTACTTTATCTTGCTTACAGAACAGGAACTATAGAGAACAGATTATAATCCACAGAATTACTAATTTAGGGACTACTCAATGGACTCTGTTATAAAACAGGATTATGACCTGATGCCTACATTCAAAGTGGCCATATTAATTATATAAATATTAGATGTGACTATTTGGAAAAATTCTAAAAGTAAATCCAGGCTTTAATAGCAAGCAAATACTACAATTAACCCTAAATCCCTATGAAGAATGTTCTTCCAGAAGCTACAAATAGTGACTCACTTCTGTGGTTTCAGAACTAGTTATTATAAACAAAATCTAAATAAAGACAACAAAAACAGAAATGTCCTTACAGTGCAGACAGTGCTAATTTAACACAAGCCCATCTAACTACTAAGTTTGGAAGAACAGAAAACAATCTTGTACATTGAGATTCGTAAGTAAGGTCTACCTACTGGCAGCATTCCAACCATTCTTAAACACAGGTTTAATTCTAAGAATTTAGGAGAAAAACCATTGGCACTTCATTAAAAGTCTTAAGCTTGATGTAAAGGAATTCACAGAAAAGTGTATTTATCAAACCTATCTATCTGAAAACACAAAGTCAATAAGCAGAGTCAAGTGTCCACAGGTTCATACCAATTTCCTCGGGAAGGTGAGTAAGCAGGTTCTCTCCAAGGCCCAGGTGTGTGAGGTTGGTGAGGTGACCGATACCTCTGGGAAGAGTGGTCAACTGGTTGTTTGTCAAGACTAATTTCTAGAAGATTAACAAAATAAAAAAGTTACACATACATTTCCTACAATGACATATATTTATAATCATATATCTAATAAGTAAAATAAATAACAGGGAAATTAAGTTGGGTAAAACTTGTTTAGTAAATCACAAGATCTTCTTTCAAACAATTTCATTTGTTAGGAGAACAAAAGCAGACAGTATATTTGAAGTTCACGTAAGGACAATAAGATAAAAATCTTTAATTGGAAAATTATATCAAAATCTAAAGAAAAAGTTGTAATTTGGAATGGTTTCAAGAACTTTAGTGATATAATTCTATCACCACCAGGAGAGGGTTTTACCTGCAAATCCTTGAGATAAGCAATCTCATTGGGCAAGGATTCCAGTTTGTTCTCCTCTAGATCTAATTCTCGTAACTTTCTAAGGTTTCCAAGACCATGGGGAAGCTTCTTTAGAAGATTGTTCGATAATATTAGAACCTAAGCAGAAATTATTGACAGCATTTCACAACTCAAGAAATAACTTACACATGATTGTTATGAAAATTAAAGATTATTAAGCAATGCTAATTCCCAAAAATGACTAATAATAAAAAATATTAAATATTTAATTGACTAATACACTTTAAAACAAATATACTACAAAGAGATTTTATTCAATTACTTAAAAACATGGAAATAGTTTATTAACTAAATTTTTAAAGGAAAAACAAAATTAACTATTGTCTTAAAACTAAAATATTGACAGTAAATAATTATAAGTATTAATAACCTAATTTTTATTCAAAATTCTTAAAATATTCACTTAAGGACAGTAAGCCATTGACTTACAACTGTCTATAACAATGAGCAGTAACTGAAGTTACAATTTAGAAATTCTTCACTACACCCTAGAAACATTAAAAGGTAAAAGGACTGAGGAAGCTCTAGGGTCCTTTTTCTCAAAGAAGTTATAATTCGGCATGGAAATAGGGAGACAATAATGGGAGCTGGGTTAGGAAAAAGAGCAGTAAATTGAAAGAGCCACATAAAATTGTAACTAACGCTGTCTACTTATTTGCCTCAACTTTATAAAATCCATAAAAAAACACACAAAACAAGATCAATACAAGAACAATAGCCACCACTGGAGTTTACTAGGACCTTATATCAAATGCACTTTGTTTATGTGATTCACTTAATCTGAATTAAAACTATGGCGTGCTATTACCTCATTTCACTCCTCAGGAAACTAAAGCTTCGGTAGATGAGATCCAAACACGGAGTGACAAAAACACAACTGTGTTTCAATGTCTGTCAGCCGCTGCACTGCACCTTATGACAACTGTGTTTCAATCTCTGTCAGCCGCTGCACTGCACCTTATGACAACTGTGTTTCAATGTCTGTCAGCCGCTGCACTGCACCCTATGACAACTGTGTTTCAATGTCTGTCAGCCGCTGCACTGCACCTTGTGACAACTGTGTTTCAATGTCTGTCAGCCGCTGCACTGCACCCTATGACAACTGTGTTTCAATGTCTGTCAGCCGCTGCACTGCACCTTGTGACAACTGTGTTTCAATGTCTGTCAGCCGCTGCACTGCACCTTATGACAACTGTGTTTCAATGTCTGTCAGCCGCTGCACTGCACCTTATGACAACTGTGTTTCAATCTCTGTCAGCCGCTGCACTGCACCTTATGACAACTGTGTTTCAATCTCTGTCAGCCGCTGCACTGCACCTTATGACAACTGTGTTTCAATGTCTGTCAGCCGCTGCACTGCACCTTATGACAGTGGTTCTCAGCCTGTGCACTGCAACCCCTCTTGGGTCGCATATCAGATATTTACATTAGGATTCATAACAATAGCAAAATTACAGTTATAAAGTAGCAACAAAATAATGTTATGGTTGGAGTCACCACAACATAAGGAACTGACAGTATTAAAAGGCTGCAGCATTAGGAAGGTTGGGAACTGCTGCTTTACAATATAATAGAACTTTTAAAAGTTTTTTTTTTTTTAAAAAATCTTAAAAACAACATATTTACTATCTTCCTAAGCTGTGTGTTAAAAGATGAAAACTTCACTAAGTAAAGACAGTAACAGTCATTCCTGACTAAGGTGGATCTTTAATTATGGGGGAAAGCTTTTGAAAGGAAAAAGTAAAATCAAGAGGATGAAAAGCAATATTCCAGACACTGAGATGGTACACAGACATACAGCTATGGACAACACATCACCAACACAAGGGACACAGAGCTACAGCTAGGGACAACACATTACCAACACAAGGGATGATAAAATTAGGCCAAAGCCATACAATAAAAGGCTGTGAGTGTAAATCTGAAGAATCAGTAATTATTTTGGCAAGTAATGCCATGTTTCCTGAATGAAAGGAAACTGTTTTCAAGATGCTAAGTTTTAGACATCTTTCTCTTCAAAGATTCTGCATTTAATTCTCTCAGCTTCTGTCAGGCAGAGGTGGTTCAATGGCATCAACACTTCCCTCCCCTCACAGGGTTGTGCATCCAATGGAGTCCAGACATGACCATCTCTAATTACACTATATTCACTCACCTCAAGAGAAACAAGACCAGACACGTCCTCTGGGATCTTTGTGAGCTGATTTGTGGCTAAATTCAATTCTACCATACTGGTCCAAGTTCCAAAATCCAAAGGAAGTGATGTCAACTGATTGTCCTGGTAGAGAGAAGAAGTACCCAGGTAGAACCATAAAAATAAAGTCACCATTTACATTCTCTTCTGCAAGCAAAATTCTTAAACAGAAAATTTTATTCTCATATTTATCAACAGATAGAATAAATAAAACAAGAGCCAAAACTTACCAATAAAACTCTGAATTTCCAACATTTTAATTAAGTAGGCTTTTATTCTGAGGTTAAACTACTTCATAATAATGTACAGAAAATCAGAGTACAATAAGAATGTTCAGTTAAGATATGGGTAAGAAGCGGGCAGGACATCTCAGTGGGGAAAGGTACTTGCCACCAGCCTGACCAGTAGAATACACATGGTAGAAGAGACCCGCCAAAAAAAACCTGTCCTTTGACCTCCCCTTATGAGCTACGTTACTCAAGCAAACAAAAACAAATACAAATGTAGTTTTTAAAATTACAAAAAAGTATAGTACATATATAGAAAAAACTTTCAAGTCTCACTTTTATTTCCAAGAAAAAGTTTTGTTAATCTTTGATCACATTTGATGGAATGTTAAGACAAAGTTCATCAGTTTCACATTCATTTTCTAAAATCTCAGGTAGATAAACTCTAACAACAACAGAGCAATTAAAATGTATCTTCAAGGGCAAAAACTAGCAACACCTGCTTCATCATAGTCTACACCTATTAGAAACCGAGACACTACTTGTTACTTATGCTGGGGACTAAACCCAGGACCTTGTGCATGGTATGCAAGAAGTCTGCCACCAGTACTGTTACACAAGGAGCACTCAGCAGAAAGGCGATTTATTACCTCTGCATCCTTTCTCACATCAACAGACTAAGAAATATTACTCGGATTTTAAGATTATCTTCATTTAAAATTTTTACTCATATACATTCAAATAGTTATCATGACAAAGTATAGAAACAAAGTTACAGATTTAGATTACTAAAGGCCAAAATTATGGTGCAGAGTTTAAAGAATGACAAAACCATGTAGTATACTACGACAACATTAACAAAGAAACCCAGGTTTCCTGGATTCCTACTCAGCTACAGTCAGGATTAGGTATGTGACCATTTCCATTATCGTCTCTGGACCGAAAATCTATCCATTACAAATTAAATCATAGTACTTACAATTTTCCATGATTTTTTTCCTTACACAGTAAACTTATAAAGTCACATTATCAATGTGGAAGCTTCTCACTGAAGGGCATATGGCCAGGTAAAGAACCTGAGGGTTATTCATCTATCCCTCCAACAGCCAAAGGGAAAACTATCTTAAAAAGTGCTGCTGGATGTACACAATACCTAGGAATTTAATATAATAACTAGCACATTTAAAACAGCTTAAACCTGTGTAAAAGGAGACTTTTACATCCTTTACCTTCTATTAGAATACTGCAATAGATATTTAATATTGTCTTAGTCTAGATCATCAAGCTTGGTGGTTCCATATTATTTCATTAGATATATTACTTTAAGAAGTTAAACCTTTTTGGCATACATTGGCATTTATGAAATAGTTATGTAATATATATCCTTAGCATTGTACTTTTGGAGTTACCCAAGACTACTTCTCGAGGACAAACTGCTAAGGGTGTGCTCAGTCTGAAAACACCTGTTATGCAGTAAGAACTGTCCTAAAGCATGACTGTTAGCAGTACAGATTTCATCAACAAGGTATCACCTACTCTCCACCCTAGTACAGAAAATATGAACGAGAACTACAGCGCTCTCTCTCTCTCTGTCTCTCTCTCTCTCTCACACACACACACACACACACACACACACACACACAAACATACACCCCAGACGGGGACTTACCTTCATATTCAGCTTACTTAACACTTTAGCTCTGGAGAAAATTCCAAATGGGATTTTGTTGATTCGATTGTGTTCCATGTTGAGGGAATAGATGGTGGAAAACTGAGATGGACCTCCCACTGGATATAACTGGAAGCAATTTCTAGCTAAGGTCAAGCTATTCAATTTTACAAGACTGGATAAAAGACTCTGTAAAAATCAAAGTAAGAGTAAGATTAAGAAATAAGGTAATATTTGCCTTAAACAGAGCAATAGCTTTTAGGGGATAAACTGCAGCTTGGAAAGGCTGGTTCTGTGACCATCTTCAGGGACAATCACTACAACGATCTAGAGTTTACAGCAAGCCCACAATAAACTGATAAACACCTTAAGTAATATGGCAGGATTCAAGATCAACTCAAAAAAATCAGAGAAACATCACCCTTTAAAATAGCCACAAATAACACAAACTATCTTGGGGTAACACTAACCAAAGAAGTGAAAGGCCTGTACGAAAAGAACTTAAAGTCTTTTGATGGGGGAGAGTCTTCTGTTTTGTGTTAATTTCATTAGTTAAATAAAGAGACTGCCTTGGCCCTTTAAGAGGACATATAATTAGGTAGGCGGAGTAAACAGAACAGAATGCTGGGAGAAAGAAGCTGAGTCAAGGAGTCGCCATGATTCTCCCACTCCAGACAGACGCAGGTTAAGATCTTCTCTGGTAAGCCACCTGGTGGGCTACGTACATTATTAGAAATGGGCTAGTCCAGGTGCGAGAGTTAGCCGAGAAAATGCTAGATATAATGGGCCAAGCGGTGTTTAAAAGAATACAGTTTCCATGTAATTATTTCAGGTAAAGCTAGCCGGGTGGCGGGACATAGCCCGCCACTCCTAACACAACAGTCTTTGAAGAAAGAAACTGAAGAAGATGCAAGAAAATGGAAAGATCTCCCATGCTCTTGGATAGGTAGGATCAACATAACAAATACAGCAATCTTACCAAAAGCATTCCAGATTCAATGCAATACCCATTAAAATCCCAACACAATTCTTCACAGACCTCAAAAGAACAATACTCAATTTCATTTGGAAAAACAAAAAACCCAGGATAGCCAAAACAATCCTGTACAAGAAAGAAATATCCAAAGGCATCACCATCCCTGGCTTCAAGCTCTACTATAGAGCTATAGTAATGAAAACAGCTTGGTATTGACATAAAAACAGACAGGTGGAACAACAGAATCAAATTGAAGACCCTGATATCAATCCACACACCGATGAACACCTGATTTTTGGCAAAGAAGTTAAAATTATACAATAGAAAAAAGAAAGTATCTTCAACAAATGGTGTTGGCATAACTGGATGTCAACATGTAGAAAAATGTAAATAGATCCATATCTATCCCCATGCACTAAACCAAGTTCAACTCAACATAAATCCAGCCACACTGAATCTCACGGAAGAGAAAGTGGAAAGTAACCTTGAATGCATGGGCACAGCAGCACAGACACTGAGAGCAACAATTAATAAATGGGACCTCCGTAAACTGAGAAGCTTCTGCAAGGGAAAGGACAGCCTACAGAATGGAGAAAGATCTTCACTAACTCCACATTAGACAGAATACTGATCTCCAAAATATATGAAGAACTCAAGAAACTAGACATCAAAATACAAAAACAATTCAATCAAAAATGGGGTATAGATCTAAACAGAGAATTCTCAACAGAAGAATTTCAGATGGCTGAAAGACACTTAAGGGAATGCTCAACGTCCTTAGCCATCAGGGAAATGCAAATAAAAATGATTCTGCCTCTTACGCAGGTCAGAATGACTAAGATCAAAAACACCAAGGACAGCCTACGCTGGAGAGGATGTGGAATAAAGGGAACATTCCTCCATTCCTGAGGGGGGCGGGGGGAGTACAAACTTGTACAGCCTCTTTGGAAATCAGTATGGTGGTTTCTCAGAAAATTGGCCAGCAATTTTCTCAAGACCCAGCAATACCACTCTTGGTCATATATCCAAAGGATGTACACTCATACCACAAGGACATGTGCTCAACTGTGTTCATAGCAGTATTATTCGTAATAGCCACTACCTGGAAACAACCTACATGCCCCTCAAACGAAGAATGGATAAAGAAAATGTGGTACATTTATACAATAGAATAATATACTCTGTGGTTAAAAAAAATGACATTTTGAAATTTGCATGCAAATACATGGAACTAGAAAAAGCCATCCTGAATGAGGTAGGCCAGACCCAGAAAGTACAAACATGGTATATACTCACTCATAAATGGATATTAGATGTAAAGCAAAGGATAACCAGCCTATAGTCCACAACCCCAAAGAAACTAGGTAACAAGAAGAACCCTAAGAGAGACATACATGGATCCCCCTTGGAAAGGGAAATAGACAAGAACTCCTGAGAAAATTGGGAGTGGGGGGAGCAGAGGGAGTAGAAAAGAGGGTAGAAGAGGAGGAAGAGGGGAGACTGGCAGGGTAGAAAAGAACATGAGGGGATAGCCAAGATGGGGGAAGGACAGAGCAGGAGAGCAAGGAAAGAGATATCTTGATTGAGGGAGCTATTACGAGGCTAGCAAGAAACCTGAAACTAGGGATATTCCCAGGAATCCACAAGGATGACCCCAGCTAAGACCCTAAAAAGCATTAGTGGAGAGGGTGCCCGAACTGGCCTTCCCCTGTAATCAGATTGATGACTACCTTAACTGTCACCATAGAAATTTTATCCAGCAACTGAAGGAATTTGATGCAGAGATCCACAGCTAAGCACCGTAAACTACTGCCACGATTCATCGTCTCAACACAGCTTGAAAGCCTTTCAGTGGCACCTAATGGATCTTTCTGTTTTCCTTACTTAGTCTATGGTCAAACAGAATCAAGCACTTGCATTGAAAATATGCTACTTCCAAAGCACATGGATGATTTTTTAAGTAAGACTTAATTTTTCTTATTTGGACAAAGTCAGTTAAAGGCTTCCCCAGTGTCTCTCTTGAAAACATGCATAGGAAAACATATACACACAGCCTTTCATATTCAGACCAGAGAGAGCTGTCCTTTTTAATATCTTATCACAAGTAAAAAGAGGGTTTAAGACTCCCAAGCCCAATGCATGGAAAAAACTTTGTAGGATCCCTTGTCCCTGTTTAAAAACAACAGAAAAAAGGTCAGGTATGATCATCAGAGATTGCAAAAAAGGATAAATAGATAGAACAAAGAGGCTTCTATGTTTTTGTTTTTACAATACCGTAATAATACAGATGCCAACAAATTGACTTATTTCAGTTATATAATATAAAAAAAAAATCACCTACGGCAATGTCCATATCTTAACAGCCAAATAATTATTAATCTTTCTTCACTGATAATAAATCTGTATATAAAATTACACAGTTTTCAAATGTTTATACTTTATAGGGACCCAGTCTTTATCTAAGAATATGGACACAATTAACACCCAAAAGAAAGCTCCTCAAGGATTTAGCTGAACACGGTGGCACACATGTAATCTCTACACTCAGGAATCCTGCTGAGGCAAGGGAACAGGTACATGTGTATGTAGGACCAGCTTGAGCTACATAGCAAATACCAGCTCAAAAGGCTACACTACAAGGTCTTGTTTCTAAAAGAAAAAAAGCCACCACTACCACAGAGAAAAATAAAGAAACCTACTTAATGTGATAATTAGTCTATCAAGGGTGAGTCATTAGAGAAGCGGATAACATTAAACAGCATAACCTCACCCATCTTGATTAATCTGAATTATCACTATCACAGGACAAAAATCCAGACAGTCTGGTTCTTGGAGCTAGATTGCCTACCTTGAACTTCACTCTTTATCTCAGGTAAATGCTACAATTCTTCTGCTAAGGAAAGGTACTGTCATAGTAATCTCAGTGGTCTAGCCTAGCAACTGCAATCATGGTAAACATCTTTATACTCTCCAAGCTGTTTTCTGAAAACACACACAACAAAAGTAAAATAAGCCAAATTAATAGATGTGTCTCTATGTATTTTTCCCCTAGCAAACAAATCAAATGAGTTAAATCTTTTTATGAGCTGATATATAGTGGCATTTATCCAAATAGTTCTTCATATATAAAGCAACACAGAAATAGACAGATTCACACTCCTCTCACATACACATTCATTTACCACTTAGAAAAGAAATTGTAAAGGTCAATGGTAAGCCTGAGTCCCTTCATTTAGTTTGGTAGAGTACTGTATTATGCTTGAATAAAATAAGAAAACACATTGCCAAGAATTTGCATTGCAGAACTATTGGCATACTAGTTTCAATACAAGAAAGGGAATAATTTCACATCACATTGAAACACGTTATTCTACAAACCAATCTTTACCAATTTTTACAAAAGAGGAGATGGCTCCAGAGTACAATGATTAGTGAGAGGTGTCTCTTCTACTGAGACCAGAAGACAACAAAAGTAGGCAGATATTGGGGGTGGGGGGTGGAAGTTGACTTCTTACTAGACGAATTTTTTTTTCCTAACAGAATCAACATAATTCAAGTTAAAATAAGGAGTTAAAATATCCTTTTTTAGCTGTTATACACTAAACAGGCTTTGACATTACTGCATCAATAGTGTAATAAGTTGGGTGACAAACGAGTAATAGTATTAATCTTGACAATAAATAAAACTTTTTCTTAGAGGTGTTACTACTGCTTCTCCATAGTAAAGAGCGAGCGACTATAGCAAGACTTTCGTTCACTCTGGTTTCACCTTCTTCTTCACATTAAAACAGTATGCTCCCACACACGCGCTTTCTGTTTTTGGAATTTACTTTAATGGTGGTATGTGACAGCATCTTCACTGTTTAAATAGTCCCAATCACCAAATTATGGATCCAGCTGTAAAACTAGTTAATTTACCTCCATTTTCTTGCAGACTAGTTTCAATTACATTTTGTTTCCTCTAATCTGCTTCTTACCTCTGGTAGAGTAGAAATGTTATTGTTCTCTAAGTTTAACTCCTCAAGTGCACAGCATTTTGCTAATGATCTGGGTATTGCTGACAATCTATTGTATCTCAGGCCAAGACGATTTAAACTGGACAAGTTTCCTGTAAATACAAGAAAAAGGAATTTATCATTCAGAAAATCTAATGAGCCTTTAACTATCATAAGCTACTCACTAGATAATCACTAGTTACTCTGAAGTACTACTGAAGTACTATTTCAGCAGATCTTGGTATCAGAGAAATAATGAAACAGACAGCTTTGAGTGAATTTCTAAATTAATTATAATCTTTGGATTTAACTTATAACACATGATTCTGAGCATCTCACACAAATGCTATGATATCAATGATATCTAAGCATATCCAACCTGTACACACACTAGCCGCTACTGAGCATATAAACAGTGAAAGCATCATCCCACAGATAACTCTGAGCTTCATTGTCAAGAAAACATAGAAAGCTACATGTTAAGCTCCCTAGATGAATACAGAGTCTACTATCATAAAAGAGTCAAACAAAACTTCCTAAACAACACATATAAATTTGTTTTGATACTTTTATAAGGGTAACAGTAACAACCACTAAGTTGAGTATATTCCTTTGTTATAACTGATTCACACAGCCACTGCTCTGACATTTCTGGATAGGTCAGGTTAAAATGCCAAATGCTGCCTTTATTTCTACATTAAACAGTTTCCCCAATGTTAGAAATTACAGAAATGGATGACTGTGCCATGTGTTAGGCTTTTGCAGATACATATTTGAAGTCTTGTACTTTTATCAATCTATTATGTCTATTTCATTTTATTCTTCTCATTACATGGCCCAACTTTCTAGGATACAACATTGCTATGATAATTAACATAGCTACCATAGCATCAATCAAGCCTTGACAGTGTTTGGAGAGCAGCTGCTACACCCCTAATCCTCACCTAGTCACTATTCACCTCCTGCTTCTCAGTGAAGAAACTAGCAACAGAGGTCATCTAAATAACCATCTGAAGCTAGTTTTTATCCTTTACAATGCCATGGTAACAGTTCTATTTTCACAATATATTCCCGTGAGTCTATACCTTAAATCTAATCAACTGTAACACAGACCCCCACCAGATGTCTCTGCCTTCCCACTAGACTGCAGCCACTCCACAGCTGCATCACTCCATTTCTTCTCTACAACCCTGTGGGGATACTGAGCCACTGAGAATTTATAGTTCTGGTTAAGATTCCAAAAGGTGTAAAACAAAATATAAAAGCAACAATAAAATTAGCAAAAATAAGCTGAGCTTGCCTTAAAGTCATTTCTAAGTTAACTAAAGATGCTTCACTGGTATCTTTCTGATGGCACTCTGGTAAGATGGACCCACTTTAAATGGGGATGGAGGGACAAAACAAAACAGGAATGACTCCTTTCCAAAGTACCAGAGAATTTACAGACCAGAAACCAGAAACCATTTATAAGCTAAACCTTGAGATTAGTAAGTAAACCTTAAAGAATTATGTTTCAAAGGCAGACAATTCTTGAGTCTGATATTATTAGTTCAAATAATTAAAAGTTATATGTACTTTGTGGGTTTTTTTAAATTTCATTGTGTACATGGGTTTGTGTGTACCTCCACACGTGAATGGGTTCATAGGCATGTCCACTTGTCTGTGTAGGCCCGAGGTTGACACTCTGTGTCTTCCTCAGTTACTCCCCACCTTATTTCTTACTGCACTTGGATTTGGCTGACTACACAGTACTGGCTGGCCAGCAAATCCTGGAGAACCTCCATCGCCACCTTCCCAGATTACAAGCACACACTGCTGCAGGGCCACCTGAGTGCTAAGACAGTACTCTAGTCCTCGTGCTTTCACAGCAAGCTCTCTGCCACCTGTGACAAAGCCCTAATCTCAGCCCATCTGTGACCTCTTAGGGAGTAGGGTATGATCACAGATGGCTAATCTTTATGCTCACAACTAAAATGTTCTCTTCTCATATAAAGGCTATTTGATTACAACCTTTGGTCCTAGAACAGACCAGTTTTAGAATGTTTATGATGCAGTTTACCAAAACTGCTTCTTCACAGGACAATTGGCCTCAGAGTTCAGTTTAAATCTGTGTATATATTTGTAAGTCTACCTAAGTTATTATATCTTAGGTTCCAATCTGTTTTTAAGTATGCAATATTCATAATAAAACATTTCAGATTAAACTGTCAAGGCTATTTTACTTAGTTGATTCTTGTTAAGTCAATCTGTTTTCTATCTACATATGTGGTACCTTAAATGTGAGGCCAAGGTTGGAAGAAATCCCGTAGACAGTACACATTTGAATCTTGAACAGAATAAAAGCATCCAAAAATTTTATTTGCAAAGACAGTTTCTTGATACCTAAAACTCAACTTTATACTCTGAGACAACACAGCACTGACTGGCTCCTTGATGTATCAGTTACACTATACCTAATACTATGCCAATACTACTGGAATCAGTGGGGGCCACATCAATTACAAATGCTTATTTCTACTTCTGTATCCCTTTTCACATCGTCATTAATTCTGTTGCCAAAACACGAATACAAAGCCAGGCAAAGAACATCCACAACTGAATATTGTTCAAAGTTTATTACAATAGAGCAAGCACCGAGGAACACTAAGGAACACTAGGTAGCAGACTGACCTCTGAAAACTCTTATAGAAAGAAAAAAACATAGACTTCAATAATTGAAAATAATTCCTAATACCAGTTTTATCTTGTCCAAGTTGCTTAATCCAATTCTATGCCTTTAAAATACTCATCTGTTCTATCTCTTTGCTAGTTTCTCCTTCATCATCTCAAAACAAAATTTTGAAGATTAACCTTTACTATTTAATCCTATACCTTAATAGTTGAGGTGAATCTACTTTTCTGTAACTGAGAAAAACTAAACAACCACTTCTTTTCCTATCAAAAGTTACCTTACGTGACTACTTTTAAGACTCCTGGCTCTCATCTACTGACCCAGATGTTACAACACAGAAGGCCAAATATGAGACAGTCTACTCTCTCAAGACACTTACAAATGACTGTTATGCTCAGAGTATGATAGTAGCTGAGAAGCCTGAACAAAATATTTTGAATATTTATAGAACACAGCTTCTAGTAGGAAAGAACAAAAATGACCTTATAAACTAGAGCTATTATTGCAAAGGAACATCTCTGCCTGGTACAGCAGAAGGGAATGAACAAAGAAGAAAAATGTAAACATGGAGAGATGGGACCAGTGAGCAGGCTCAGCAGGTAGAGGCTTGACACCATGCCTGAGGACCTGAGCTTAATCCTTTGGACCCAACAATGGTGGAAGAAAACAGATTTCTGCAAGTTGTCCTCTGACCTCTCTTCTGCATGCACCCATGCATGAACATGCATGTGCACGCACGCACACACGAATAAATGAATGAGTGAGTTAATGAATGAATGAATATAAGATTTATAAATAGTTTAAAAATGAAATGTAGAGGTAAGATGTTTGGGTATAATACAATATGGCATTCATTTTCATTATCAACTTAAGAAATGAGCTCAAGGGTCAAGAAATGGATCATGGCTTGAAGCTTTAGACAGCCATTCTGTGGCATCCAATAAAAAAGTTAAGAATGCCTAGGCAACACCTTAGAGCTGGCCCAGCTGGTGTGGGCACCTGTGAGCTGGTCCCTGAGGGCATAGGAGTGGAGCTGGAGAACTATCCTGGTGGTGAGCATGAGGGAGAGCTGGCAGGCTGACCCACGCAGCCACCATCCAGGACCAGAACCATGGCCATGAGTTAGTTCACTCCGACATCTCCCCATCTATGAACTACTGGAGCATGTAAAGGGGCCAGAACTGCAGACCCAAAGCTGCAGGATCTCCTGCAACAACAGGATACCCAAGAGGAGTCCCAGTGAGGGCCCAGTGTGAATAGTGGAGCAGAGACCAGGGCCTCAAGCCACTCACTACAATCAACATTGCAAGCAAAGATGAAGGGACTAAAGGGTAAACTGTGTGACTCACTGGACTGCACTACAGCTTCCACGACAAAGACCTCTTTTATTTTTCTCAAGTTTTATTTGAGGGGGAGGTTGCAAGGGCAGAGGGCAGATATGGAAGGGACAGGGAGATGAGAGGAGTTGAGATGAATGATGTGAAATCCACAAAGAATCAATAAAAAGGTTTTCTTTAAAAAAAAAGTAAATTACAGAAATTTTGTAAAATTTCTTTTGTGAATGTGGCCTTAATGTGGTATAATACAAGAATTATACAACAAATTCTACAAATATTTACTAAATTGGTGGAAAAATCATTGTAGAAAAATGAGCCACAATTGTGATGAGCAGAATTTTTTTAATAAAAATCTTAACAAAAAATAGTAGTAGTAGTTAGTTACTTTTCTCATGGCTGAGACCAAAATACCAGACATGAAGCAACTTAGGGAGGGAAGGAGTTATTTAGCTCACAAGTTTAAAGATATCATGGCAGGAAAGATGTTTAAAGAACTGATATATTTCATTCTATTTAACAGCTATAAGGCAATTTGTATATTTGAATACAGTATCTATCTAATCATGACTCAACTACTGTCATGTTTTGAATGTTTAGACAAATTCAGTAATAAAAACCTTCATACATATGTCTAAGCACATACCAGAGTATTTCAAGATGTGTCAGAGGGTTATTATAAACTGTTATGAATGTGATGACCACACAGCTAAATTAATTTCACTTCCACAAAGTGAGAGCCCATGCTCTTTTACTCACTCTCTGCAGGACAAGCAGTAAGATTATACTTTATTCCTTGCCAATAGCCACTGTCACAATAAAGCCAGCAAAGGTGGGATTTCCCCTCAAGTAGCAACTGTGACTGTAAAAGGCAATAAATCTTTTAAAAGAACTAGAAGTATATAAGGTATCTCTTTCTCTCCTTGTGATGCCTTTCTCTATCACAGAAACATTGCCAAGCAGTCTTTGAAGTCTACCAGAAGAGCAAAGGGTTAATAATGGAAAGACCCCATAACTTTGCTAAAGCAACTGGCATGTCTCGCTAAATTACTCTCTACAGTAGAGCAAGGGACAAACACAAGGCTTTAAATGTCTCTCAGTCTCATTCTGTAGTAACAAACAGTGTGGTGATGTATTTCTAAATGCTCAGCACTCAAAAGCCAGTAAATAGAAGCAAACTAGATCTCACCCTTAAAATCAGAATAGATTTCCAGAATTAAAACATTTCAAACTAAAACTGTCGCTGTGAAATTGTTAACTACGGCACAACAGTGCTCCTACCCTTCCTGCACCTAAGCTCTGTCCTCCTTTACGGTAGGGTTAGAAAGAAGATAAATTTTTAAAAATAAGGCCCATGAGAAATCCATGTCTGCAAATGCCTTATCGCTTATTTAAGAGAATGTCAAAGAATCACCCACATTAAGATCTTATTACTCTCAGCAAAGTAAAAGAGATAGTAGAAATTAAGTAGGAAATATCAAAATTCATTTATGCTTGGGGGTAAGAGGCAGCACAGGTTTAACATTTGTTATAATTCTTCAGCACTGGCTCCAACTACAAGCTAAACTGCAACCGTGAAATCAAAAAAGGTCTGCTTTAATGTTGAGACACCACAGCTAAGAAAACCAGCACAGGCGAATGTCTGTATAAATGTAGGCTGATCACTGCCAGTCACCAACAGCTTGTCCTCTGCTCCACTTTGACTGTAGCTTGCTCTCTAGTGCTGCCAAATGTTTAAAGAATGGTGAAATTGCATGGCTATGGATTGAATTAGATACTTCCAAATCTGGCAAATGTAAAGCATCTTTAGGTTAACTCAGTTTTAAGTTGATTAAGACTATTTAAAACAGTCTTAATCTTATTTTAACAAAGTAGCAAAAGAATCTGTACGAAGAATACACCATTCTAAAAATGAAATGACATCAAAGGTGTATTTTTAAGAAAACTAGAAAAAAAGAAAAGCTAAAAAGAAATGCAAAAATCCTGAATGTCAAAAACCAAAGGAATATAACTACTTCAAAAAACCAACATATTATAGCTAATGCTACACTGAAATCACTCATAGCCTTTGTAGGGGGTGGGGGGGGAGTGTTTGTTTGGTCGGTTGGTTTTTGTTTTGTTCGAGGCAGGATTTCTCTCTGGCTGTCCTGGAACTTGCTCTGGAAACCAGGCTGGCCTTGAACTCACAGAGAGATCCCCATGCCCTGCGCCACCAGCCCCAACATAACCTTTGTCTCTATAACCACAATCTCTGACATTTCTCCAGAGTCTGGAGCAACAAAGACCTCTGTGAACTGGCCTGTGTTTCAGCCTTGACTGCAAGGTTTTGTTGCATCCTCCTCTCTTTATCTAAATTTCAAAAAGAAATTAAATGTTTATTCTATTTTAGACCCTTCTCCCCTGATTTTAGAATGGTTATCAGAAATTCCAGAATATTTTATGGAAAAGCAGGTTCATCCTCTGGACAAAATTAGACTGTAATAAGACTTAAGATTTTCCTTCTATTCACAGAGAGCTCTTGAAGTAGAGGCGGTTTCTATGCGATCAAGTGTAGTTTAAATCAATCAGCAAGGTGAAGACTCTGGCTTCAGTGCCATCAGCTGCTCTTCCCTGATTTCTTCTGCCTCTTCACCCAGCTCAGGAGCTGTAGTGGCCTTGGTGTTGTCCATGCAGGGACTAAACGGCAGTGATTATTGGCAAGAAGGAATGGCTTCACAAGAGCTGATGCTACAGAAAGCAGTGGAAACAACTTGGCTACTTAAGATGCAGGGGGGGAGGGGGAATGAGGGGGGGTTGGAAGAATTGAGAGGCTGCTCCAGGACCAGCAACTCCACAGGGCAGAGAGGATGGTTCTTGTTTGCTCACTGTAGTCACACTTTCAAAAATGGCAGCTCACAACCATCTGGAACTACGTTTGTTCTCCTGTCTTAGTTGCAATAGAGTAAACCAACATTTTTATGTTTTTCTATCATTTCACTCATGAAATACCCAACCTCTGTTTAGACCTGTCTTGACAGGTTGATACCTGTCATAAATTCCCTAGAAAGAAACTTTGGGGATTTGAGGAGACAGTTCAGTGGCTGATATACTTACTAAGAGGGATAGAGATCCAAGTTCAAACCCCTATGCTGTGAGACAGAGGCTTATCTGAATTTGCATCAAGTTCATGAAAATATAAAATTGTATTTTACTAGTCTCTTCACTGTACTACCTTCTCTTTTCAAAGCTTTTCTATTTTGTTGCATTTAATCTTAACTTATATTATTTCTATCTTTCTTTTATTGGTTCCAGGGTATTTCTTCAACTTTAACTTATAGGTCAGTATTTTGGTCTTTGTGTTTATTATATAGTATTTTCCAACTAATTTAATTTGGTAACACATCTTTTCATTTGTATGCATATGTGTATGTTAGGAGGAGAACATACTATTAGAAGCCAGAGGTCAATGTTCAGTATCTCTATTACTCTCCCCATCATTTTCTGAAAGTTCCTCAATGATCCTAAAGCTCACTAGCTGGCTAGATCAGCTGGCGAATGACGTCCTGGGATCCCCATTACTTGATCTCTCCAACACTGAGATTACAGGATTATGCCATCGTGTGCAGCTTTTTATGTGGGTGCTCAGAATCTGAACTCAGATCCTCGTTACTGTATAGCACTTTAGTCACTAGGTCCATCTCCCTAGTTCCTTGGTAGACGTTTCTAATAATTGTGTTTGTTTCTTTTTGTATCAGCCTCAACATAATCATGTTCACAAATACAGAACATACTCCCTCCATGCTTTTTCATCTGAGATCACTTCTCTGTCCAACCTAGCCATTTCAATTACTTTAAAAACAAAGCAGAAAAAAAGTTGTTATGGTTTCTAATATCCTGAATCACAATCTGTTCTTTTTATATTTTAAGTTTAACAGCATACTCTATAACTTGTTACATGATGCAGACAATTTTGCCTTTCCAGTTTAAATAATAAATATTTAATTTGTTACTAGTACAAATACTAATATGATAGGAAGGTCCATGGGCCAAGAACTAAAAAGGCATAAGTTAAATGGTAATTATAATATCTAAGTCTCAGCTTGCTTTTCTGTAATTAAATTATTGACTTATATTATTTAAGATAGCCTCTCCACTTGTGGGGAAACTAAGGTCAGGATGTAAAATAAATAAATGAATGGATGGATGAATGGATAAATAGATGAATGAATAAATGAATAAGTAAATAAAATCATTAAATAAAAGATACCTCCCACCTAAAGGTTGATAACAACTCCCTCCTATAATTTAAAAAAAAACAAGCAAACATCATCAAAAGCCAAAATAGAACACATCCTCCACAACCAAAGACTTAACAAAACAGAGGTTAATATTAGCAGTCTAGAAACACACTCAAAACCCAGAAACAATCAGATACTGGAAAGGATTCTGCCCAAGAGCTTTCCCAAACAGAAGATGTACCTGAAGGGTTCAGCTGCATCTAAACCCTGCAGATGTAGAGCCCTCCGAGATGCTCCTTGAACAGAGTGAGCCAGAGGTGAGCTCGTCCTCTAGCAAGACACCAACAGACCTTGGTGTCAGCTAGGAGACCCTCATACACTGACCATGACATTATTAAAATGGTTCCTCTAGATACCTGACCTGACAGACGCAAACAAAATGATTACTGAGAAAGACAGACTCCAAACCTAAAGTGCTTTATTAAAAGCACCTCAGAAATAGTCATTCAGATTATATAAATCAAGTGCAGATGATATTTTTCTAAATAACAAAACTTATTTAAAAGAACTTTTTTGGCTTTTATATATTTCTAGACAACTGAAAAAAAAGAAGACTACACATGTGTGAGAATATTATCATAGCTCAATTCAACTTTTTACAGTTTGGCAAAATCCTCAAAATACATTTTAAGCATCTTAAAAACATCTCTTACCAACTCAACATTACAAATGAACAACTGTAAGTTATATCATTATGCTTTAAAAACTAGACAATAGTGTTCTTATTTTGCACTGCGGTACTTTAACAAAGAAGAGATCACACTGATATAACAGTATGTGACATTCTGAAATAAACTAAACAGAAATCCCTCCATTTTACCTAATTCCATGTTTTATCTTTTTTATAATTCCAAATGAATTCATTTCCTAAGATCTAAGTTTCCTTTATCAAGAAATAGAAAAGTGATTTAAAGTACTATTCTAAAACTTTTACTACTAGTTTGATAATTTTGAATTTGTTTTACCAAAATGGATCAAAAATAGTCCTTTCCATAATCATGTAGCTATAGATATCAGTATCTTCCTTTCTCCCCTCATACCTATTGTATCTGGGAGGTCTAGTAGTTCATTGTGCTGCAAGTCAAGGTTGGTTATCTGTGTGCAGTTGCCAATCTCCTTTGGAAGGTGTTCAAGTTGATTGTGAGCTACATCCAGGGTAATGAGGTTACATAATTCACCTGTAAATTGATCAACATAATAATAAACATTAAGAAATATATCAGGTAATACTGAAAGCAAGGGAGTACATTTATGATTCCTAAGTTCAACCTGTACTTCAAAACGGTAAATTATCTGCTGAAGACAGTCCTGTAGTGAAAGAAAATTTCAGCTCAACCAGACTCTCAAACAATTACTTCAGAAACTGACAGCTAATAAAATGGAAAGGATGCTTATAAACCAAGGCTTCATCCTTCTGTGCTGTGTGTTCTTGGTGCTGTCTTTTGGTCCTAGGGACTGAACCCCAGGCCTCACACATACTAAGCATGTACTCTGTCACTGAGCTACACACAAACCACCTTACCCTCTAATCCTGCCATATATTCCTTTGAAGTGGACATTTAAAGCACAAATGCTAATATATTCTAAGACTTTTCAAAAACTGACTAGTTTAAATAACCAAATTCAGCACATGATATTAGAGACACCTTCTTACCTAAATATATGTATGCTTTCAAAATGCATTTTCTGGTGCTAAATAAATAACTAAACTGATATTTTAAATAAAAATTCCTTCACAATTTAATAGAAAATGAGGTACATTTCCCCTACCCATTCTGGGTTAGAAAGAAGTACACTAACAACTCAAATTTCTTACTATTAACTGCACATTAAGACCATTTTGATATGGGATTCCCCTCTGTATGTTGTCAATACCACTGGAGAATAAAGAAACTGTCTTAGTTAGGCCCGTGATAGGATAGAGTAGAGCTAGGAAAAACTAAACTGAATGCTGGGAGAGAGAGGGCAGAGTCAGTGAGAAACCATAGAGCCACCACCAGAGACAGCCATGTTGGAACCTTACCAGTAGGCCACAAGTCTCATGGTAAAATATAAAATAATAGAAATAGGTTAATTTAATATGCAAGAGCTTGCTAGAAATATGCTATAGTGTTTGGTCTAGCAGGGATTTAATTAATAGTTTCTGTGTGGTTATTTCGGGAGTCTGGGTGGCCGGGAAACCAACAAGTGGCCTCATACAACACCTATTTATAATAGATTTGTTGATATGAACATGATGTGTTTGTTTGTTTGAGACAGGGTTTCTCTGTGTAGCTCTGGCTCTCCTGGGACTCAACTCTATAGAACAGGCTGATCTAGAACTCAGAAATTCACCTGCCTCTACCTCCTGAGTACTAAGATCAAAGATATGAGGTTTGAAGATATTGAAAAAAGTAAAAACTATAAAACTCTGGAAAAAGAGTAGAAGAAAACATTTGCAAGTCATGGATTTGATAAGGAATACAGAAATATTTAGAATACATAAAGATCTCCTCAGTCCCAAAGAAGCCCATTTAAAACTTGACTCGGGCTGAGCAGCGTCACACCCTGTATTCTGGCAGTAGGAGACTAAGAAAGTCTGCAAGCTAAAAGACAGCCTTCTGCCTGTACTACACAGAAACATGATTCAAAACATAAACTGTGAGGAGTTGTGCAGGTTTCCGAGGGGCAAATGCACAAAGGCTAGTACACAGGCAAAGGCAGTTGACATGTCTAATCCTCAGATGAGTGAAAGCAATACATTTTATCACTGTATCCATTAGGATGGCTATTACTGGAAAACATAGTGTGGAGAGCAAGTACAAAATTATAACTTTGAGTTCGGCCTATTGGAATAGAACTTGTCACAGTCTGTGGCAATCAGTAGATTAGCTCCTTAAAAAACTATGAATATAAAAAAATACAGTTATCACAACAAAAATTTCACCTCTGGGAATTCTGAAATTATATTTAAAAAAAAACAGAATACTGAAAGCAGGGACTAATTAAAAAGTATAACCACTGTTACCTGTAGAACAGTGCTCATGGAAGCATCATTCTTCATAGCCAAAAAGTAAGTATAACTTCAAATGTCCAGAAGTCAATGAACAAACAAAATGTTGTATATATAAATAATATTTTGATTCTTTATAAAAGAATGGAATTCTGATCTTCTGATCCATGTTAAAACTGGATAACCTTGAAAAATATGCTAAGTGAAATAAACCAGACACAAAAGGGTAATAAATTAAATGATCCTATTTATATGAGGTACTATGTATAGACAGAAAGTATAGTAGTTACTGGGTTCTGAAGAAGATAGGGTGGAGCAGTTTAATGGGCATACAATATTGTTCTCAGAGTATGAAAAAGTTCTGTAGTTAAATGATAGTTGGACAATATGAACATACTATCACTAAACTGCTAAATAAATTCTATGTAACATCTACTTTCTAACAATAAAATATATATATATATATATATATATATATATATATATATATAGTCAACCTAAAAAGCCCATGCTAAGATTTATTTTTACATTGGATAAAAGGAAGAATCTCAGAGCAGTCTTCACCTTGGGGGGGTTGGATAATAAAAATGTGTATACATAAATAAATAAGAATACACATAATAAAATTAAAGACAGAATAGAGACTAGTCAACATATGTAAATGTTGGCTGTTTAGGAAAAAACAATATTGGTAACACATGCAAGACTTGAAATGATAAAAAAAAAAGAGAGAAAAAAAGAAGACACATACTACAAATATCAGCAGTGAAACAAGCGAGTACATTCTACATTCTTCTTTTTCATTTTCAGGTTTTGAGACAAGTCTTGTTCAGTAGTCCAGGCTGGCACTGAACTTGTGATCCTATGACTTCAGTTTTCAAAGTGGTAGAATTATAAGAATATACCTCCATATTCAGCCCATTTCTTAAGAGTTTTTTTTTTTTTAATTGGTGTTGTTGTTACTGTTTTTGATAGAGGGACAAGTTCTCACTATGTACCACTAGCTAGCCCAGAGCTCACTTTGTAGATCAGGTTAGTCTCAACTTAAGACAGTCCTCCTGACCTTGCCTCCCACATGCTAGGATTACAGTCTGGCCTTCCATCTTTAAAATAATAATAAGTACTTTAAGCAACTTTGTAATTGTGAAACATAAATTCAAAAACTTTGGCTATACAAACAATTCCTTAAAAAAAAATCATACACAAACACCAAAACTCAACAAATAGGAACTCCTAATGATACTCTAACCATTACATAAATTTTATATACAGCTGTAAAGTTTTTCCCTCCAAAAACTGTGGCACAAATGGTTTCTCTGGAGACTCATACCAAGTGCTTAGACAAGAATTAACTAACACTCATGTAGTCTCTCACAAAATGTTGTAAAGAGGGAAATATTTCTAAATTCATTTTATTAGGCTAGCATTACCCTGATATCAAAAACAGTCAAAGGCGGTACAAAAAGAAAACCCACAGACCAATGGCTAATTCCCTCTTTATATAATATGACACTTTATATATTGTAGAGACGTAGAGACTTAACGTAAGAATTTATCAATTCCAAATATACATACTGGTTCTATGCTTGAAAAATTAACCAACTGTAATTCAATGCATAAACAGTCCTAAGGAAGAAAAATTATCTGATGACTGATATAAATATTTGATAAAATTAAAAGTGTTTTTAATGTTAAAAATCCTAATAAGGAACAGAGAGAAATTTATAATGAATTTTTAACTCTGATTTTCATTCTGATACGTTAAAAACTTGAAGTCAACACTTCTGTCCTCACAATACTAATGAAGAGGCTGTGGATTGACAACTTCTGTTATGGTCATCAGAGACTTGAGGACAAAGTGCAAATTCCTGAGCTAACAACTACAGAGAAATGTGAATTCAGAAGTAAGAGCTGGAGTTTAAGAAAACAGTTCAAAGGTAAATGCTGCTCCAAATTGTGGGATGCAGGAGAGGTAACTGAGAGACTGTAAGAAAGGAGGCCCTCCTTGAAGTGGCCCTCTCTCTAAAGTTTTCACAAAGGCTCTCAGGCAAAGGCGGCAGGAAAATTATTTATTTCACCTAGGCATATAAAGCAACATAAAATCTAAGACAATCTCCACACACAAACAAGCTATTGGACTAAATCTGCACTAACATCTGTACTGATTGTTTTGGTATACTGGGCAGACTCCAGAGAATCATTTTAATAAAGACCATGTAATTATCTCAGTGTTTCCTCTATATGCCTGTATTAACATAGAAAATTGTGAGGACTATATTATAGGACGCCAATGTTTATTCTGACAGTAGGATCTCTCTCTCTCTCTCTCAAAATATTCTGTCATTTTTTGCAGTAATGAAATTCTCATTCTGTCAACACATACTAGCTCTAATACATGAAAGAAATAAGATTGAGTAATAGCAGTACAATAGGCAGAAGTACAACTTAGCTATATGATTTCTATACCTCTCTGTTTATTAACACTTTGGTAAAATAGACAGTCAATATTAGTTCATTTGACTTTATTAGATATTAGAAAACTGAGGTTTCTTTGTACAAGAGAATGTATGTAATCAAAAATATTACTCCTGAATGTACAGAATTATTATGCATGAACTTTTTTTGTAATAACTGAAAGATTCTGAGCAGACCCTGCTTTACGGAAATATAATAATTCAACTATGATAAATGAACTTTACTTTTCTAACATGGTAGGAAGTATTAGGATCCCAGTCCCTGAAATGTAGTTCCTGTGCATCCTAGTTAACCAGTTTCCTTTGTAGCCATTTATGTGTATCTTAATGTTTCTGCAGCACCAAATAAATCTGTTATATAGCATACTTTAAGTAACTTCTGTATATTATACATATATGAAATAGTTTTTATTGAACAGCTTATCTTCTACTTCAAATTTATGTAAATATTATGTCAATGTTTTTAGAGGAAGAGTAAAAAATGTCTTGAAAGAGAAAGAAAAACATCAATCTAAATACAAAAGAAAAAATAAGAATTACATTAGATTTTTCTTCAGAAACCATGCAAAGCCAAGAGTGGAGTGAAATAAAATAAACACAGGCAAGGCAGGGGGAATCACTAACCTAGAAGATCTATTAAGAGAAGAACTGCCCTTCAAAAGTAAGGAAGAAACAAAGGTTTATGGGACTAACAAAAACTGAGGGTGCCTGT